GTTAAAAGTTTATTAAATATGAAATAACTATTGGTTAATTAAACAGGCCACAAAACCTTTAAAATTATTTAGTATGTTTAATTAAAAGGAATGCTTATGAATATCAATTTTACCTGGTGAACTTAGCATTCTTTTCTCTTGGGAAGATAGTTCTCTATGAAGATTCTGCTCTCTCTCTTGTGTTTGTTCTCGTGTTTTTTCTTTTCTCCTCTCTCTTGATTCTCTTTCTGTCTGTTCTTTTTCTTTCTCCCTTGCTCTCTCTGCCCATTCTCTTTCCTTTGTTCTCTCTGTGTGTTCCCTTACTGCTAGGTCTCTTGCTCTTTCCCTTTCAGCTCTTTCTCGTTCCCTCATGCGCTCTCTCAATTGCTCCAAGTCTTTGTGTACAGGAGATACTGGTCTTCTATCATAAGGGCGAGAATTAGACCAATTCTGTCTGTTTCTTTCTGGTGATAATTGACGACGAGATCGACCAAAAGTTGGTGATTGTCTTCTGTGATAAAATTGTTGTTGAGTTCTGAAGGGAGGACGTCTACGTTGTGGTGATGAATCTCTATCAAAAAATTTGATGAATTCAATATTAATAAAAACCCAGAATTTGAAATGGAAAACATTTATACAGTAACACTATAAAAACAGATTTGAGCATTAAATGATAAAGGGTATTACAATTATCAATGAAGAAGTACATAAAAATGGCTTTTCAGCAATGCTAAAACTACCTTCTTCCTCTTGAAAAGGAACTAGATCGCCCTTTTCTTCCAGGATCTGGAGAATGGGACTGTGAATGAGAAGACGAAGATGATGATCTCTTCTTCTTCTTCTGGGTTTATCCTAAAATATGAACCAAAATTATAAGAATACTTAAAACTTAAAATAATTTTATCTTTTCAAATGCTTGTATGATCTCATACACCAAAAACTAAAGTACTTACTGATATTAAAAATGAAGAGCATGACAACAGTGAAAATCTTCAGAGGCTACCATAAGCTATATAAACTAAAAATACATACACATATAATTTGATATTAAAATCTGTTAAAATTAACAAGTGTTTGACAAGTGTAATACAAAATTTAAGTATCTTCCCTATTTTAGTGTAATTAGTTTTATGACCAATTTTGGATAAAATAAACTTAACAAAGACATTTAACCTGTCATTTTCAATCAGACTATGAATGCTTAAATCAAATTCTTTTAGCTTGCAAGTACATTTAAAGTACAAAAACATAGCTTCATTGATTCTAAATTAATTTGAATACGTAACTTAATACTGACTAAGAATAAAATCATAACACTTGCAATATCCATCTTTTAAATTGAAATAAATCATTCAGATATACAAAAAAAAATCTAGTTAATTACACAGAAGCTTACCTCAAAAGAGGTTCTCTTCTTGGCTTATAAAATATTTTCAATAGTATTTGAGTTAGGCTTCATGTGTTAAACCTTCATAATTGTACAGATTACTTAATATTAATGATACAAGATAGTAGGTAAACATGTTTTTATGACTCTAACAGATCCACAAGTAATGCCTAATGATCCATAATTAAAGGTTTCTGTAAATTGGAAGCCTTCAATAAGTAAAACAAATAACACTTTCTGCTGGTAGCATAATTAGTATAAATAAAGTTAGTCACTTCATCAAACAAAAAATATTATCACACTTGTTTTAACTGAAGCAAATGAATTCAAGTAAAATGTCATAAAGGAAAAAAAAATCCCAATTTCCTTAAATCATTCAAACTGAAGATGTATCACTGATATCTTATTCTTTGTTCTCACAATGAAAATAATAAACCAAACTGCATAAAACAATGTACAAACCTCCTAAATACTCTAGTTTCTGCATGGTTAAAGTTCATAAAATTTAATTTAACACTTGTATAAATATTTTAATTGTGAAATGTCCAAAAATTAGTTTTGCAAAATTTTACTTAAAAACAAAAACATTTTCTATGATTGATTAGAAAGTTGAATTTTACATATCCAATAAGTTTTAGCTTGTTTGTTATTTATATACATTTATTTTGTCAACTGAAGCAGTCAAATTTCCATTGTAAATCATAAAAACTCAGTAACAGTAACAAAGATTTACTGGTGAACAATGAAATGATATCACCCTTCAACTATTACCTTTGTCAGATATGTCAGCACATTTTGGCAACAACATTTTTCGTTTATTTATGTGTAATATATTATAGTTTTAAATAAGTAAGAAGTTATTGAATTTAAGTGTGTTTGAACACAATACACTTAATAATATATTCAATAAAAAAAAATTGTTTGCCATTGTAGGTCTTATTTACCATACTTGCTAAATCTCAACATCTTTACCTGATGTCCTGCCAAAGAAAAATATTTCTTTAGCTTCCACACAGCCACAATATAATAGAAAACCATTTTCAGGAAATAAAAGAACAAATTGTATTTCAATGTTTTGTCTTGAGATATCTTCATTACCCTTAACTCCACCCAACCTCATAATTTCCAAAAGCATAATGTGCACACAGCACCATTAGAATTTAAATTGTGTTAAAACTTTTCATCTCCTCTTCTGACGATTGCTGCCCCCATGCTTCATCCCCCTTAAAAGTTGAGAACCAGTCTAAGTTCTCAACATCCCTCTAGATAATTCAATAAACGTGTGTTCAACAAATAGTTTTACAGCTGGATAAACAGAAGGCATACAAACATAAATGTTGAGCTAACTGAAAATGTTAATAGTTGATTGGGAAAAATAGGAACCAGCAAAACAGTAAAAAATTATGAAGTGTGATGTTTTGGTTTAGACACCTAGAAATGAAAGCTTAGCTTGAACACATTTTGAATTTGTATTTATGAAATACACTAGATAAGCATTACGTAATACTAAAATATTAATTCTGCAATATTTGTAGTTAGGAATAAGTTGTTAAAATAAAATTTTTTAATAAAACTTTGAAAGTATGGACTCAAAGTGACCTGAACATTTATTAATTGGGAAAGTTAAAAAAGGTAAAATCTTGAAATCTGTAACATTGAGGTTCATTTTTCTTCATTATGTGTATCACTACCACATAAAAACAAATGTGACACTCATCATACTATATTTTTCAGGAATCTATTGTTTTGTGCATTAAATCATCAAAATACTTTTTACTACAAATATCTCACTGCGTCTATCCAATCGCCTTAATATTCTTATGTTTACACAAACAAACAGAATACCGCTGCTTATCTGCACAGTTACAAATCAACTGCATTTGAATGGCATAGTTTTCCACAACTTCTAAGAGCTTTGGCACTGAAATCACTCACATCTTTTCTTTTGATCTTGCCATCAACTGATTTCCTGACTGCAGATTCATTTTCAGAACTGCTTGACTCTTGATTTTCATGAGAACGATAGTGACGTTTGTTCTGTACAGATTCTTTCTTTGCTACAATATCTACAGCAGGCGACTCTTTTTCTTTCAATGGAGAAACCTGAGTTTAAATACAAACAGAATGTTATAATTTGAAAATCTTAAATTCATATTCACATAGCCTACCTATTAGTGAATAGACGCTCCCTTTAGAACAATAATGTACCATCTCGATGATGCCACATGCAAGTAACCCTGATGTTCAGGTACAGCTCAGTAAAGATCAGTCAATACAAACAGCTACGACACAATGGGAGGGTGTTCAAAGTTAGTGCAAAATTGCCAGGTCACTTGCAGTTCTAGTGTGTGATAATGTAGTTCCAGTCACATCAGCAAAAACAGCACAATTTAGGCACTCAAAACCAACAGATAGGACATTTTGTGCTGTACAGATTATTGGAGAATAATCCAAGTCAAACAGATGCTACTGATGAAGGACAGGTATAAGTGTTCCTCAATACCAACTGAAGTTAACTTTACGGCATGAGGTAAAAGGTAGAGTATCTAAGTAAAAGATACTTTTCTTTCCATTCATTATTGTATGCCAATTGTAGTGGACATCACAGATGTCAGCACATATTCCTTCCTTTTGGGATACTGTATTGTTTTTCATATAGTCCAGATTTTCATAATTCTCAATACCTTCTGCCTGCTTATGACAAATAACCAGGCAAGGCAGTGCTCACATTCCTTCATCATGAGTCACAGAAACGATGGTTTGAAGTTAACCCTTTTGTTTCAGGCTTGTGTAATTAGTGGAAATATATTGCCAATTTCACTTGTACAACAATACATATGATACCTCTGGGATCTATTAATGTATCTTCTCAAAAACTTGTAAGATTTTTGTTAAAGATCGTAAATATTTGGTACACAAAGAATGACATTATTTTAATCGTTTTTACTAAAAATGATATTTATCTATTGTAGTTACTTACACTCAAACTCTTAGTAAATCGAATGCAAGATGAATTTCATTTTAAGTAGTTTCATATTTCATTTGCATAATTTCTAGAACCTTCTAAATGAATATCAAAAGTTTTTAAGGTAAATATTTATATTTTATTTTTAATTTTCCATACTATATCACTAACTCTAGCTATTATCATCAACATACAATGCAATGAAATGATTAAAATTAGGAAATAGAAAAAAAAAAGACAAACTTTTTAACTTTTTGTAGAATATCTTTAAAGATTCTCCTTTGGTTAAATTCGTAATTTCAGATCTTTTCCTTTCTTGTCCTTGAGACATATTAGTGTCTTTGGCAGAGATGCTCAACCCTTAGGCAAAATTTTCGTGCACCATTTAATATCTTAAGTCTTGGTAATCGTTTAAAAATTGTTTACACCTTTCAATTATGCATTTTAAAACATAAATAATACATAATCAAGTAAAATATAAAAGTAAAAGTACGAACTAAATACAATTTAACTATCTCTAACTGTAACACATTTAGGTAAGAAACAACTGTAAGTGCTATAGTTGATCAACCAGCCAACAATACTACAGGCAGTTACATGTACCCTGTAATGAAAATAGCACACAAATTTTAAAATAACCATTGTAAGATTATAGTGCAAAACGAGCTCTTTCTAATGACTATATACATGTATATGTAACCTTTACAAGTAGGCCATGAAATTCAAACAAATCTGTTGAAGGTAGGCATGGCATGTCAGGGGTTGACAATACTTACTTGTTTCAACTACATTCATTCAGAGATCTTTGAAATGTATGAATCAAAAGGTTAAGAAACCATTTTATAGTCTAGACATACATCTATGCAATTGCAATTGTATTATTGAAGAAACAGAGTGCCAAAGTTGAGAATTTTTGTAGCTTGTTGGTCACGTGACAATACATCTGAAGTTTTAAGTAGTTTTCTAAAGGTTTTTTTTTAGATAAAGGACTCAAACTTAAGATAACATAAAACTTCCAATCATAACATACATTATAAGTTTAATTTCATTCACATACAGTGATAGTAAAGATGTTTCATTAAATTTTGAATGTAACACAGTGACTTCCTTAAAAAAGTGTTTAAAGGGGTATCTGTCGTGAAAGAGTTAAGGGTATTATTACTTTCCTATGGCTAGGCCAATCACCAGATATAAACCCTATGGAGCATGTATGGTCTATCTTTAATTGATCCTTGTGGAAGCTTCCAAAACATCCAACTTCTAGAGACACATCTATCCAAGTTCTTTGCCAGGAATGGGATGAAATCTCAAAGGTGCAAGTTTCAGATTTTTTAAATATGATGTATAACTGTGATCCTGTCTTAAATATTGCAAAGAGCAGATTCACTAAACACTAATGGTAATCTTGTACCTTTTGTTTCACATTTTTTTATTTAATGAAATGACATTTTTTCTGGAGTGTGTTTCAATTTACTTATTGGGAGGCTGTGTAAATGACAGATGAATCAAATGAAAATCCTTACTTTTGCATATGATAATGTTTTCTACATTATTTTAAAAATATGAGATGTGTTTTGCAAACTCACGTTTCTCATCTGTTTTGTGAGTAATATTTCCTATATTTTAAATTTTAAAACTTTTGAGCTCCACAGAACCATTCAACTGGAGTAAAGTCCTTATGGCCTCAAACTAGTTAGCAGTTTATACAGAGATTACTCTATTTTTTAATAGATCCTTATAGATTCCCAATTCAGAGAATCTATTTATACTGTAACTTCACCAGAAAAATAAGTTGTGATGGTGAGCACAATGGAAATCAGAAATATTACAATATTTAACAAAAACCAGATGGAGGTCCATTAGTTAAAATTTAAACTCTAGAATCTCACAGAGAAACAGACACTTGGGGTACGTGGAACTTTCACTAATCATCCATAGTTAATCTGTCTTGTAATTTTGTGACAGTTTAATTGTAAACACATTGAAATATTTCTGCATTTCACAATCCATTTCATTTGATGCACTCCAAGACCCTTTTTTTCTGGCTACATCAATCTTGATATTGCTACAAATAACAAATTCCTGTTTGTACCCTTTAAAATTAAAAAAATTGAATGTAACTGTCTATAAAATATTATACACAAATACCTAGATTATTTTGACATATATTAGTCACATATTGATAAATAATTAGATCCCACAATACATTTGCTTTAAATGTAAAACTGGAAAACAAATAAATACACATCCTGAGGGAACTGTAGATCAAGACACACGGTGCTATGTTGTGCAGCCAAAACACCCTGCAGAACACACTGTGTGTTCTTAACAGGAGTGATAGTTTAGCGATTTTCCACTTTCTGTACCTCAGACTGTGGTAGTCCAAACTAGAACACATTTCCAGTGGATGTGCTCTACTGGACCATTACCTTACATACTAAATTTCAAGGCAATACGTTAAGAATTATACAAGAAATAAAATCTCTAGTTTTGACTGAGCTTCTTCCTTTTTTTCTTCTTCACAACGAAAGTACGAAAACTTTATTTTATTGAAAAACATACTTAACTTTTATGGATTTTTTTTTTTAAATTTGGTACATTGATAGATCTTTACAACCTATAATAGGTGTCACATGTGCAAAGTTATTCAACAAAAACCACTCAATTTTGACCAAAATTTTTGTGCATGCCTATGCACAAAAGTCGCATGAATTATCAGTCAAAAATTTTTACTACAGCTTTACTTAAGAGTAAAAGTGAACCTTTTCTAGTTTTTTTGTTATTCAGGTTAAAAACATTTGACTTAGAGTTGCAAAACTACAGGGTGAAAGCACGTGTAGATACACAAGTATTGTTAGGCCAAATAAAGTAGATTAGCAGTTTCTAGCTCAAGTTTAAAAACAAATCATACGGGTGGATGGTTATTATTTACTATTCATTGCCAACTTGTAAGCATAAATTTGCTAAATTTTATGAAATTCTCCTAATTAAAGAGCATTTAGCATTACGTGATATTAGTTTAAGTGTAAATAATGATGCTTGATATGCCTGTACCAAGTGCATGCAGGTGATGACAAGAAATTGTAATCTAGCTTCCATGGTATTACTATAAAGGAAATTATTAACAGTTTTAAAAAGGAAAATTACCACCATGTATTTTAAAGAATCTAGTTGGTCCTGTAAGTAAAGGTCTCTTCCAAATAATAGAGTAGTGATCCTGAAGCCAATCTTGGTTAATATCAAGTGTCACTTTCTTACTTTCTGTGTTTTGTTGGTGTATTGACAAAAAGTCATGACATCTAATCAAAAATGCCTTAGATGTGAAAAAAAAAAAGGTGCAACCAAAAAAGGATTGAGCATGTGACTTAAAGGAATGTAATCAAAATTGGTGGCCAAACTGATAACTACACTTATAGCATTGATACAAATTTTAAAGCAAATATTTATTCATTAGTTAGCTAGGCAGCATATTTTGATTTACACACTATCATGCCCCAAGTTTGAAAAAGAAATGTGGGCATGCTAACTAACGATTGAATATTTGCTATAAAATTCTTATCAATGCTATAAGTGTAGTTACCAGTTTTGCCACCAATTTTGATTTCATTCCTTTAAGTCACACGTTCAATCCTTTCTCGGCTGCACCTTTCTTTCAGACCATCTACTTCAATAATTTTGAATGGTTAAAAACAAAACAATACTTTGAGGGAAGAAAACTCCAAGCAAACACAGAAAAATTTGTGCATTCATATATGTTGAAATTCATATTCCAGTACAAATATTTTTGTTGCCTAAACAACGTTTTAGATCAATACACCTACCCAATCTTTAATCCTTTGACTACTACACACTCTTTAAACTCCTTTCTGTGGATGTCACGTGGTTTTACCAAGTTACATTCAACATTTAATTACACCATTTTACTATCAATGTTTTAATGCAATTAGCAATATCATGTACATCACAATTCAATGTTTTAAATCACCTAAGTTTTAATTCCTTTATTTCAAAAGAAATCTTTAAAAAACTTAAAAACTTCAATTTTGTTCACAGATCTTAACATTTTGTCTCTATTACTTGAATAATTGCACATGTACAGAGTATGTGTATGTCTAGTGTGAATTTTACTCCTACAGTGCTATTTACTAGTCTAAGTTAAATTCATTAGGATCAATAACGAACACAAGAAATAAATATTCTCACCCCTTGACAGTAGCCATGCTCACCTTCTATACTCAGACTTTATATTTATAAGTCACATGTACTTATCTATAACCAATAGAAAAAGCTAATTTTAAACTACAATGCCTCAATAGTTATTTTAAAACTGGTGTGCAATATTCCATAAGAAGTGCATCAAATTGCTCAAGTATTGTTGCAGTTTTGTCCTCGCTAGCATTGTTTCTAAACTTGATACATATTTCTTTGATACAGTTAAATTCTATTTAGATTTTACTTTTATATTTTAGTTAATTATGTATTATTTGTTTTAAAATTCATATGTGAAAGGTTTAATAATTTTTTAAAATATAACTCCAGCTTCACCTCACTCTGCAAGAGCAAAAACATTTTGCCAAAGGCTAAAGTATCTCTGCTGATGATACAGTTATATCACCCAGGGGCACCCACTGACATGTGTTGAGATAAATAATAAACAGTAAAGGAGAAGAAGGGAAAATAAAACATTAAAAATAAACTATCAGAAAAGTGTAAAGATGTGAAATTATGCATATAATCCAAAGAAGATACTTTAAGATTATTTGATCAAGAGTTAAAAGGTATTTACATATTTCTATTCCTTAACTTTAAACATTTTATTGTACTGTACATTGATGATAATAACTAGAGTTAGTGATATGGTATAGAAAATGAAAAATAAAATATAACATTTTCCTTGAAAAAACTTTTGGTATTTATTTAGGAGGTTCTAGAGGTTATGCAAATAAAATTGAAAACTATATGGTAAAAAAAGTATTTCTATACTTAACATGAAAATCACCTTGCACTTGAACTATTCAGAGTCTGAGTGCAAATAACTACAATAAATAATGAAGTTTTAGTAGATAAAATCAAAATTAAATGTTTCATTTTTCTGAAACTACATGCCTTTAGAAAAATTCCTGTCAACCTTCAAACAATTTCATCCACTAGTTTTATTCTGGAGTGAAATATGATGAGAGTTACATTACATTATCTCAATGTAAAGGATTAATAACATTGTGTAACTAGTGCATTACCTAAATATTTAATTTCAAAAGCAGTATGTAAAATGCTAATAAAGATTTTTTTAGTACTTTTTGTTTGCTATTTCTATCCTTTTCGATGGAACTGGATTTCTTATTTTTTAGGTCAGCTTTATCAGATGAACAAGACGAAGACCTCGATGATGACGATGTTGATGATGATGAAGAAGTGCGCATTGACTTTTTCCTATCAAAAAGAACAATGTTTATACATACATGTATATATCTATCAATATATTCATACTAAGATCTCTGAAATAAGCTACTATATGCATAAACCAAGTAAATTTATTATATATAAAATTCAAAGAACACTTCTGTTGTAACTGGAAGAAAAAGGAAAAAAAAACAGCAGTCAGAAAATCAATCTTACAATTGATCATTTCAAGATTCAAAAATAGAATATCACAAATGATAGCCACTTCCTATAGAGTGATCCTTATTTCTAAAGTAAACTTACTATTATTATTAAGTAATATTTCAAATATATTTTATTATTCCTCTTGCTACAGGTAGGTCAAAGTGTCCAGGTCATGACTTTTCCCAGAATTACATTCAAAATTTAATTAATCTATTTTATTATCAATTTATACAAATAACCTTGCCATAAAATCATAGTTAATAAACCAATTATTAATAATACATAAGTTGTAACTTCTTAATTTTATAAGAAAATATTCAAATATATTCTCAATCTTCCCAAGTATGACAATCGTGGCATTTGTTCTCTAGGTCTTCCTCATTCTCTAGATTTTTATCACGCCTCTCTGAAGTATAGAATTTAAGGTAAATTATTCATAGATATTACTAAGGCAAAATCTAATTTTTCTAGCTTTCAATGTTATTTATTTATGGAGCCATAAACTAGAAAATCAGTCCCACTTGCCATGCCCACATGTCACATCATCTCTTTCACAAATTACCATTAATTCTCTCTGACATTTTACATTGTATCATTTCTAACCATTAGAAATGCATAGTTTAAATCTATCGATTGACATATAGTGCTATGTTTTTTTTCAGTGAAGAGCATTGTCAATTTGGTCTTCAGTTTGAAAGATTATCTTGTTGTGTTCACATCAAGCAACTGAAGGAAAGGAATTATTTTAAGCCCCTTTTGTCTTAGAAAGTCAGTGAAATTATAATGGTTATAGAACACTGTTTGCTTTGTGCATATTATTATTCTATGTTCTTAGGTGCGTTATTAAAGAAAACAGAAATTTAATGTAATAGTAACATGATTACTAAAAAATAGGCTTAAGTTTCCTTAGCAACGGACAGGAAGAAAGCAAGAGGTCAAAGGTAAGTACTATATTTCTTGTTTTTCATGTGTATTTTTCAAATATTCTTGTAAAAGTAACTAAAATGTAAAAATTAGAAACCTATTAGTCAAATTAGGTAAGATAATGAAACAATTTTCAAGAGCTTACTTCGTAAGTAACTCATGCATTACATCATTCACTACAGTAACATAAGCTATCCATTTGCCGAATGATTTACAACTTCTGTAGTAGGATTAGTAGTTAGGCATGGTTCAAAGGGCTATAAAACGATAAAATTAAATAGAAACAGATGTAGACTGTTGTGAGCCTTAAGCTATTTAAGATAAACAAGCGTAATTTTCTATTACAATCTGCATTTATTCTAGAAAGAAAAAAGGGTAATTTTGACTTTTTTTTTTTTATGTTGGTTAAAAGATCGGTCAAATCAACCGATTCTGTATAGAGTTAGAGTAAAGAAAAAACATATAAAATATAAAGTTTTACTGAAAAACAATGTTTGATATTTATTTAGGAGGTTTTAGAGGTTGCACAAATGAAATAGGAAATTCTTCAGATGAAGAAAAGTATTTTTAATCTCAACATGAAAATCACTTTGCACTTGAAGTAGTCAACACTCTTGACAACATATTCACTGATAAATCTTCAGTAAAAAGACTTAGAAAATCTGATTTTGTGTGTACAAAAACATTATGTAACAAACTAAAAAAAACAACAACTTAGTTCTCCAAAAAACAAAATTCTATGAGTAAAACGAGTGAAAAACATGTCTGAACATCCCGAGTGCCAACCAAGAAGTGAAGTTGAGCTAAACTGCACAGAGGAAGTTAGCTGTGCTAGGAGTTGTGTTGCACTCCTGTTGGTAGAGGGTTGTTGCATGCTATCACTCAGCTGCCTCACATGAAAACACGAGGGTAGGTGAGAGTATCAAGGCTTGTGGCGACGAACATTTGTGCATATAGAAGGCAGTACAAGTCAACAAAAGCTGTTATGTAAGAAGAGGTGAGATATAAATCAGAATATTTCACTACATTTAGTGTTGAGGTAGAAAGATTAAAATATAAAGTATAAAGTTTCACCAAAAATAAGTTTTGATATTAATTTAGAAGATCCTAGACATTATACAAATGAAATTGAAAAACTGTAAAATAAAAAGTATCTGTATTATTTGAATGAAAATCACCTTTCACTCAGACTGATTCAGTAAAGGCTTTGTAGACTCTCAGACAAATCTTTAGTAAAAATACTTTATTATAAAATCTGACTTTTCGTGTTCAACATACTTCAACATCTTATTAACCTTTTTGACAGATATGCTATAAATATCTTAAGCATGTGTGCATTAAACTTAATAGTATGGGGCCGATCAATCATGTATGACACAAAAAAAAATGTTAAATTTCAAAGAGAAAAAAGTAATATGAAAAATTTTTTGATATAGTTATACAATTTTGACTTGCATAAAAAATTTAAAAGCATAAATAAAAGGTAAATCAGATCAAACAAAAATTATAGTACATAAAAAGAAACTTAAAATAATTACTTACCTAGCAGGAAAAGATTTCTTACGGGTGGGTGGGGGTGAAGATCTCTGGGAAGGACTTCTGCGTCTAACTGGAGACCTCCTTAATGATGATCTCTTTCTTGGACTCTGTGACCTTAGTGACATTCTTCTTCTTGGACTTCGTGATCTATGTCGAGGTGACTTTGACTGACGTCGTGGGTAATTACTACAAAAGACCTAAGTTTGTAATAACTATGTTATGGTCACCCACTGAAATACTCACAAACTACACTGATACTTAGAATTAAAGGTGACTACAACAGATTTACATTTTTTAATTTCTAAGTTACTGACATGAAGGGGGAGGGGGGGGGGCTGTCAAAATAACATATTCCAAAGTAATTACTAAAACCTTTTAACAACAATAATTGAACATACATTATTTTGAACATTAATTGTACCTTAGTAATTTTTGAAACAGGACTGGAGAGGTGTGTGTAAAAATTAGACATTTCTATCATACTTGTGAAACAGCACAAATGTGACAGTCAAGTTACAGTATTAATGTAAAGTGAATGTAATACATATATTAGGAGCAACTTTATTTTACTTAAAAAAGTTTTTAAATAAAATCACATAAAGAGATATTATTCTATTGTTCTTATAATCTTTTAATAAAAAAAATGCAGCTCTGTGTCATAAAGAAAAATCGCATCTACCCCTCTCTTTGTCTTTTCGTCTGTGGGGATGAAGAGCGAGATTGATCTCTTGATATGTTTTTTGTCTTTGTTTCCTTATCATCCTGGCTATCAGTAGAAGAAGAATGTTTTTTATCAAACTTAGACTTCTTATCTTTTGATGGTGGTCTAGGGCTATACCTGTCAAAATCATTTTCAAATTTAAAAGAAATGACAAATATAAAAATTATACAAGTTTAAAAAAAGAAAACATTCAACCAATTAGTTATTTATAACTGCTATGCATTTTGGATAAAGAATGTAAAAAAGCTGAAAATTTAAATCTGCTAGATTTCACAAGTATTTTGCAACTAAAAATTAGAAGTTGATCAAGCACACTATAATTATTTTCTTCTTGATTCAAAACATGAATAAAAGATTAACTTGTTAGACATTTACCAGAAAACAATAGAACAGACAAAGAATTCAAAGAAAACTTCTCTTATCACCAAACACCTATACAAATGTAAGGTCAATGTGGTGAGTAAGACAGCCAAAACACCACAGAAATAAATTCAGTACTCAAAGTAAAACATTATCAGAGTTGTAAAAATTGATGAAAACTATTTACATAATAAAAAAATTACTATGTAAGATGATTATACATTTTCAGTAAAATAAACTATAATGTTAAGATGTTTTGAACACTTTCTATATTCAGTGCAAATCTTAAAAAAAAAAATATATATTCATACTCCATTACTTCAACAAGTCAAGGTACAAATTCAATTTGTCTTACCTGTCTGAGGTTTTTTCTGTCTCTGTTTTAGTTTCTCCATTTACATCACTAGCAATCTTTCTTTTTTCTTTTTCATCAATCTTCTTTATATTGGCTTGAATCTGTTCCTGTTCCTCCTTTATGTTAAGTTATATTTAATAGAAAAAAAAAAAAAAACTTAGCTTTGAACTCCGCTCTCCTCTGAGCAAATGTTTCATTAAGTTTTTCAAAGTAAACTGAAAATACTATCTGCCACAAAATACTCAAGCTTTTCTGTACATCATCTGACATGGTTGGAAAAGTTTGTTACTACTTCATGATCGTCTCTTGCAGAAATTATTGTATTTGCTCAAAGTGACTTTATAATTGTTCATGATAAATACTACAGACAAACAGATGTTTAACTATGTGCACAGATGGGGGTTAAAGTGTGCATGCAATGACTTTTTACAGAGTGCATTCAACATGGTAATATGTGTTTGATGTCAGAGTTATAAACTATTCATTGTACCCTATATTTCTGATTTAGTGTAAATACCAGAAAAAATATACAGGAATACTAAGAAAACTGAAGATACACATTTTTCAAAGTTCTAGAGCTTACGCAAATGCAATATGAAAATTGTAAAATGGACACAAATATATTTCTTGTTCAAATAACCATCAACATGCACTCTAACTTTTCAGAGTCTGAGTCAGACTGATGTTCTCAATTCACAGACACATCTTGAGTAAAAATGTTTTGTAACTCATCTGATATTATGTGTATAACAGACTTGTATATCTTACTAAAAGCTTGCCACATTTCATGTAGATACAGATAGTAAATTTGAAATTATAGTCAACATTACTTCTCCAAAATGGGGTCAGTCAGTGCACATTCTGTTAAGTACTTTTTTGGCTCACTGATTTAAGTGATCACTCATGGTAGATTAAGATACTGGAGAATGCAATTACTTTAATACGGGGTAACTATTCAAGTTTCTAAAAGAAGCAGAGGTAAGTACCACCAGAGAAAGCAATCATGGGTTGCCAAAATATGTCAGGTCCTTTATATTAAATATATATGTATTTACATAAAAGGTAATGCACTCAAAATAAGAGGAGGGATGATGTACAAGCATAAAGTCTTTTTAACATTTGTCCACAAAGTTATAAATTAGTTTCAGTCCAGATAATGCCCTCTTCCATATTGTATGATTAATTGAATAAACTTTTATCATATTTTTTTCTGTATATAATTATCAATAAGTTAATGCTTTATATTTTCAACTTATGAGATTAGGTTTCTTTTTTCACTGAAACCCAATAAAAATATTTTGCATTTCTGTAATAATGTAACATATATTTTTACCTGAAATATTTTTACGGATGACACCCTAACCCACTTACCTTCATTTGTGCAACAGCTCTGCTGCCTAATGCAATATTTTTGTGTAGGTCTTTTTTAATGTCCTTAACTGTTCTTCACGTGGAGAAACTCTCTAAACACCCGTAGCAACTTGCCATGACACACCACTGACCTAGAAGCTCTGAGCTTTTCTGTGTGCTATTAAATTCTGTTCAGTACAAACAGTATCAAAGTAAAGCCCCCCTCCCCTCCCATTGGTTCAGTGGGAAGTGTGAAGACTTGTAATGTTAGAAACTGGGTTTCAATACCTGTGGTGGGCACAGCACAGATGGCCCACTGTGTAGCTTTATGCATATCAACAAACAAAATCAAAGTAAAATTAAATCACAAAAGCTATAAATATAATTTCCAGTAATTTCTCAAAAAGCCAACCTGTCTTTTCTTAATTTCTTCCTTCTTTTGTTCAATAAATTGTGCTGGAATACCACCAATATTTTCTTCTGCACTCAGAAGAAGGCTCCACAACTCACCCATGAACTCACGAGCATTTTTTCCATTCAAAAATCCTGTTAAGTTTATCTGCATAGTTTTTGCATCAGGATACTATAAAAATAGAGTGAAAAAAGGAAAGAAACATAGCTGTATATTACTATAATATCTAAGCCACCTAAACTAGTTGATATTACAATACAGTACTTTAATTTTCATTGTTAAAACATTCTACTGAAAATTCCCAATGTTCAGAAATGTTTTATATTTTGTATGCTTAATTTTTTACAAAAATATTCTTCATTACATTACTTATCCTTTCCCAAGAATTGCCATTATAAATAAATCTCAATGTACTGTTAATTTCTTGTTTTAAGCCTACAAACAATACTTCATAAATTTTATTGAAGCTTTGACATAAACTTATAAACCTTGCATTATAAAAATATATAAATAGTAAACATGTTAAAAAGTTGAAAATAAACTATGAATTAACAAGATTTTTATCTATGATCTATGTACATAATACATCTTGTACACTGTACATTAATTTATGGCAAAAAAAGAGACTAATTTTTATCATAACCACCATTCATACCGATAAACATGTATTTAATAATTAAAAAAAAAGTGATGAAAAATAGTTATTTAATTTTATGGCAAAATTCTCCAACATATATGTATACACACACACATCAAAGTAGCTCCCATATATATGGTAATTCATGAAAATATCAAATCTTGGTCTTTCAACCCCTCATTTCTTTCAATTGGTGAAAAACTACTCCCAGCAAAACTTCATCAAAATCAGATTGTATTTGTCAGTACCTCATTAACCTTAAAGTCATTAATATTTTGCTTGATATGCACCTATCCCCTCTCCGTTGCAAACATAAATGTGACTGGACATAGAAAATGTGGACCTCTCAAGTCTGTTTCTGCAAAATAGTGATACTTATAGAGATGTAATCAAATGTGTCAACATAAATTTCATTCTGGCTGCACAACCATTATTCCAGCTTGCTTGAAAGACCTGGACATGATGTTTGTATACATTTGTTCAACTATAGGTTACCTGGGTTCAGTTATTTATTTAAGTGTTATCAAAAATCCTTGTGTGTGTTTTACTTTAATTAAATTTCCCTTAGCTAATTTTTTGGCTGTACTTCATGATCATTATATTTTTTATCATTTTCAGATCTTCAAATATGGCTGCTACATAGTTAAAAGGAAATTATTCTTACTGGAAACACCAATCATAAGATTACTGGGGCACAACTACCATCAAATTTAGAAGTTTTTTTGCAAGTGTTCTTTCATTTCCAACATAAATTGAAAGTGACAATGTAGGAGAGCTCCACAAAAACAATGAACCTCATCCTGCCCATCTGGGAAAAAACCAGCATTCGGACTAGGATTAAGCAGCAAGTGATTTCCATTAAGAGAAACAAGTTATGAAGGCCTGGAGCTCAAATCAGGAAGAGAAGAACACAAAGTTGGACCAGAAGCTATATGACACTGCCAATCAAGATGCCCTTCAGTTCATGAACACAAGAAAACAAAGTTCCTCTTTGCTGGCTTCATAACCTTTATGGATGTAAAAACATGGAAGGAGGAGGTCAAGAAGGAAAAGGAAACACACTCAGGAAAGAGTTGAAAAAGGATAAACATAGAAATGTAGAATGGAGTCCTCAGCACCAGTGAGGGCAAGTTCAGCACTGCCTGCAGAGGAGACAGGGATTTAGTTGGTGGTGCTGGTCCTTCAAATACTCTTTCACTGACAAAGTGAGTTTGGAAGAATGTGATCATTTCTGGGCTAGCCTCTGCTCTGAATCAATGCAAGATAGGTGACAGGAAAATTGTTCATATCACTGCCACAGCAGCTGCCAGCTTGAGCCAAGATGTAAGCAAGCTGAACATCAATAGGTCCTTGATTTCAAGGACAAGACGATACCACCACTCTAACCTGGCACGTAAAGTGAAAATGGAATTTCAAGTGGATGTGGCTCTCACAGTCTACAAGATGGGAAAACTGTAGCCAAATTCAACAGGCAAAGAGACACTTGATCACCTTCCAATTTTGGTGTCTGGGTCTGGAGCCAATCAGTTCCTTGTAGTGCCAAAGTTGCTGAATGGGGCAATAGAGGCCATAATTGGTGCAGTATTTGCAATTATCAAAGACTGGGGTATCACAAAGTACATTTGCAGCATGGCTTTCAAAAAGAACTCTACAAACACAGGTTACAATTCTGGAGCTTCCATTTTCTTGGAATATAAAATAGGGAAGAGACTGCTCTCATTCACAGGTTTACACCATGTGTTTGAGGTTGTTCTTGAGAAAGTCTTCACACTAACCTTTGCAGCATCTTCAAGGCCAGACATTCAACTCTTCAAGTGTTTCAAAAATAAGTGGATCCTCATTGATCAAGCTAAGTTTCAGACAGGATTGGATGACAAGAAAGAGACTTAGAATATCACAGAAGACATGAAAGAAGATGTTCTCACCTTCGTCCAGCACCAGCTTCAAGGAATACAACCAAGTGAAGATTATTGTCAGCAGCTTCACCTGACCATCATATTGTTGGGTAGAATGCCTTCTAAAGGAATTTTCTTCCAAATTTTAGTTGAACTTCTTATGGCATGTCCGCTGTAGGGCTTGAAGATCTTCATGTTCAGTCCAACAAAAGAAAATAGAAATTATTCAAGGTCACAGCAAAATAGGAGGATGGACTTCATGAACTCATTTGCTTCGCTTTGCTTTCCTCTCCCATAGTTACTTCTGTCCCACTGAATGATATAAAGTTCTTGGAAAAACTCCAAAAATACTGGGTCTCACTGATGGTGCTGTATAGATATTATTTGGTTACTTATGGTACTTAAATAAGGAGCTCACTGGCCTAGCATCTTTGACCCATTGGTCTCTCTCAATGAGAAAAGAACCACGCTGCAAGTAGTAGAGGAGGTCAGAGGAAGAGAGAATCCTCTGAAAAGAATCAAGTTACAGCTTTCTGATCTTGGAGTGACCAGAAAGCCCAGTACATTAGACTAAAAGCTTCTTCAATACTTTCGGACAATCTTCAGGACAGTGATTATGGAGCCACCCACAAACTTTCTAAGGAATTGAAGGTAATCAATGACTCCATGGAAAGATGCATGGCTCTGATTCAAAAATTTTAATAACCACTTAACTTGGAAAGAGGAACAAAGGCAGTTCCTGCTCCACATTGTTTCTCAGCATTGTACACTATGCCTATTCCAAGAAGCCCAATATAATTTCAGCCCAAAAGTAGCTAGAGCGTGAGTTCAGTACTCATCCATTTATAAAAACAATTCATTAGCAAACATATGCCACATTTTACTGTCATTTATACCAACTTTTGACCTCTGTTCAATTTGTTCTGTACTGTTCTATTGTCCTAAAAACTATTTATTCAGAAAATAAAACCTTCCCATTTTGTGATTGATTTTTTACCTCTGTGAGGCACTAGTAAATAAATCTAAATTTCCTTGAAATTTCACAGGTATTTTTCTTGTTGTGAAATGTGACAGAATGAGGGGTGAGAGCAAAAGATCCTAGCACAAACACACAAAACATTGTTTTAAATTTCATTAATATTTGCAACAAAAGCTCATTAATATCAGAAAATACATGCACATTGTTACAAAAGTGTAATTAAAAGGCAACTGGATCTCATCGTATTCAACTACCAAACACTTGGGTGCATCGATTCAATGACCTGTTATAGGTTTGTTTCATTTAAACAAAAAATAAAAATTACTGAATGAAATTGAGACATGAGATGAAGTTTCTAGTGGTTATTTTGTTTCTGCAAAATAAAAATTTTAGTTTTATATCTAACATGAGTATAAATTTGCAGCTTTGAATAGTAAAAAAGATTTCACTGTGACATTTTTTAAAGAAACATTTAAAACTACTTACCATTATTGTAGCTTCCAATTACTGATTTTTATGTTTTCTCACACTTTTGCAAAGTTTTCCATTACATTTTTAAGTCTATAAATCTGTAAATTATATTTGTTTTGCATTGAAAAACACTATGCATAGTTTGAGAGTAAACTTATGATCACTGACACACAATAAAAATGACTTTTCCCCTCACCAAAATTTACAATTTTTATCCAGGTTTCATTTAACATATGCAATAAGTTGTAAATCCATTTTATATTCATTAGAAATATAATTTTTGTTCCATTTCTACTTGGTGATTTTAATTGCCTATTCAAGCAGTTGCTTAAGCCAACAGGATCTAATTTAAATATTGCCTAAAAAACAATCTTGTTGGAAAAATGAAACTTGATATGGTAGGATGCAAAATTACCTAAGCCTATCAAATTTTGTTCCTTAAAAAAGATTTGTTTTCCAATAGTACCCCATCTTCATAATAAAAATGAAATATAAAATAAGAATGCAAGCTTTCTGAAGGCTCTGTAATAAAAAAAAACAACAGAATTGTAATTGTGGCAGAAGTGGTTTACAAACATTCTTTCCTCTAGAAAATACCACCAAGCAAAGTTTTTATTACTTCGTTCTAATCCCTACACGAGTCTCTGCTGAATATGGCTTACACAGTTAAAAATAATAGATAAAACTTTCATTATGTATTTATATAACTAATCTATGACTTCTCTAAGCTGAGACATAGGCAATTACATCATACCATGACAACTGGGGATGCTAACATTGATAAAAATACACTTTTATTGAAGTTAAAAGGTCCAAACTAATACTGTTTTGTTCAAAACTATTTTGACTACTCTCCTTAGTGGGTTATGTGTGCCACATTAAGATTAGTAAAACATTCAGAAAATTCATAAACACTAATGTTTTATTTGGAGCACACTGACATCAATCAAAAAATCAAGATTTGTAATTTTATTAAAAATTTGAATAAATAAAACCTTTTTATTGAATAAATTTGAGCAATAGTTTTGTTTCTAATATGTGGAAGATCAATAGCAAATTTATTTTCTACAATTTTTAAAATTTTGCTCTTACTCAATATAGAGATAAACAATACATTTTTCACTGTATAGAAGAAAACAGTTTAACAACTTTCCTATATCATTATATTAATTATAATCCTGATTTTTTT